AGAGGAGAGGAGCAGCTTCTACGAGTTCGAGATGGTTCTCCCACAAGATGGATCGACTTCATCGGATTGCTCCGCAACGGCGAGGGATTTTTCCCTAATACTCGCGCGGATTTCCGAGCCAATACGGCTCGGACCCCAGATGAGTTTTTTGGATATATTTTATATTTCCACCACGCGAGCAACCTCCAATGTCTCTCTCGAGTCATTGTGAGCATCAAAATTACCTCGTCCGGTAGACGCTTCGGCGTCGTCCGGACCGACACCTATTTGCACTAAGTCGGCCTCTGCGAGTCATTGTATGGAGATTAGCCATACGGATGATCTCTTTCTATGGCACCCGGATCGTTAGAGTCATGCGAGGTGGGCGGAGGACTACCCTGACATTCGACGACATCGAGCTTGCGCGACTGGATTCATTGGACACACAGGTGCGCGGAGGACGACAGATCTACTTGGGATAGACCCCGCCTTCTGATATCCTACTTGGGTCTTAGAAAACGCCTCGCATAGACCTGTCCTGTTGATGAAATCATATGATTTATGATTTCACGATGTAATCTCAAAAACAAAACACTCCATTTAGATAGGACCGCCCGATGGATAGTATCTGGATTACCCGATGATGGCACTATCATGCTTACGCATTGAGGGGTAACCGAGAGTTCAAACCTCAACCAGGAACCAGATCACTTGTTGATTTGCATGGTAGCAGTGGTATTTACGTACAGAAGCTAACCATGACAGGCTTCTGTAGGTATAATGCCGTGCTAAACTTAGAACTTGGAAAAAGTCGAACTTCAGCTCAAAAGGCTTGAAATCATGACGAGTGGGAAAGCTGATAGCATGATTCTTTTTCGTCAGACCAAACCTATTAAAAAGTTGTGCTATAAATGTTGAGTTGCTTGATATAGTGACTTCATGTGTATTATTTTTGGTGATTTCGTCTTAATAACTTATATATATATATATATATATATATATACACAATATATCATATATATACATGTATATATATACATATATATCGTCACAAACAGATATATATATACATATATATCTATATATATATATTTGTATGAGGAAATTTTGTGCGAGGGACTAGGGTCAAGTTGCCGTCGGTTTCTGTACTTGAATGAAACCGCTCTAGTCGACCGACGTATGCTTCATCCTTAGGAGATCAGCGCCCTAAGTAACGGACAGCGTAGGGGTTCAATAGGCGTTTAATTCTCGTATACCTACCCTACAACGTGCGAGCAAACGCCCTCGGCAGATCCACCTCTGCAATTGCATTTAAAAGTTTTCGCATGTGGGTCGGTAGCTCGGTAGGGATACGCCCCTAAAGGTGGTGACAGCCTCTTAGGGAAGCAAGCTTATGCCCCGCGGGAACCTGTCCTGTCGTAGGGGACCGCGGGATGTACAGCTGGCGCACCCGGCTAGAGCGGCGAAGGGACGACATGACCGCGCACCGCCTAGGTGGCTCGCGGAAACTATTTTCGCATTGTCCCTAAGTTGTCTCCGTGTTTTGTTAAGTTATGACTCCTGCGTGACGTGGCCGGGAGGGCCCTCGCTCGCGAGGGGGCCGATGCGCTCGACAGCGCAACGTACCACATCTCCAATACCAAATGGCAAGGAAAATGAGCGATAGCGAACTTCAGAAACCAAGCACCATCATACACATGAGACCAGATAGTCGTGACCTCGAACCAAAAGTAGAATTGCCTCACGAGTCCCACCAAATAAGAGCATAGCAAAAGCTCATAAGTGAGAATGTTCAAATAGTCTCATCATCATTAACAAAGAACCAATGTCAACATCCTATCTGGCGCTCGGACGAGCCCAGACTACAAATGGCAGATCCTATCTAGCCTATCTACACGTTGATGACGTCAACAACTCCCCGAAGTACGAGCAGATCTCGACAAATGTCGTTCACCTCAAGGCTGCAGGCAATTAGAGACAGTCACGAGGTAGTTCATAGGAACTTCCCAGGCACTTCACGTGCAGGAGGCAGGAGGCGGTCTTCAAGATTCGGCAGCAGCACTCTGGAGTAGTAGTAGCGTTAGCAGTAGTCTTCAGCGTTGGGAGCTATCAGGAGCTAGAGTAGTAGTGGAGAGAGAGAGATGGTTGGCGGAGGTCAGGGAGACTTAACTGTGGCGCCATAGCTCCAACTTCATCTTACCTGCAACAAGGCGCCACCTTCACAGGTTAGTACCGGAGAGAGAGAGAGAGAGAGAGAGAGAGAGAGAGAGAGAGAGAGAGAGAGAGAGAGAG